CACACACACACACACACACACACACACACACACACACACACACACACACACACACACACACACACACACAACCCACACACACACACACACACACACACACACACACACACACACACACACACACACACACACACACACACACACACACACACACACACACACACACTTCGGCGCACCCAATCCGGCACATCCCTCATACGTTTCGTGGCCCCATAGGGAGCTCCACCGAAGGTCCCCGCCGCTTGCGTCTCCCCCACCCAGTACACCTCCGCCGGAGGCCGTCGGAGTTCCGCGCCTCGCTCGCCCGCCGTCGCTCTGCCCAGCGGCAAGAGCCTTGCCCGCTATCAGCCAGCCAGCTAGCTCTTTTTGCTGCGCGCAGCGGACGGCCCGCGCGCGTCGCTGGGACCCCTCCGGGGCGACCTGCGCGCGTCGCTGGGACTCAGCGCTGCGCTGCGCCCGCAGCTTTGGACTGTTGAGTGCGCGGGCAAAGAGGGAGTAAAAGAAGGGGAGGAAGCGGGCGCGATCCTCGCGGTGGCGTCGCGGCGCGCGGGCGATGCCGTCGGGGAGCCCCGGGGAAGCTCCTTGTGGCGGGCACGCCCAGCGTCACGAGTACTCTGAGGCAGTCACTTACAAACTGTTAGAATTCATATACAATTGCACCATGCGTTGGCATACTCGCATTCGTGCATGTAGACTCGCTCGCACGCAGATTCATTCACAGTCAGACGCACTCGCTCTCAGACTCACCCGCGCTCAGTCTCCCTACGTACTCAGATCAATCGTTTTCGTTCGCGTCGTGTACCACGCCACTCATTTCGGCACACTCCTAGCACGGTTCGTTGCCTCATAGGGATCACCACCGAAAAAGGGAATCACAATTGCGGTACTCACACTTGCATACGGTTGGGTCCTTCGTCAGGCTAATTTTTCCAACCGTCCTGTGGTGTTGGGTCCTCGTTTTGAAGAGACGGTCCCCGCGTTCTCCTTCTCTCCTCCTCTTCCCCCTCCTCCTCCACCGTCCGCATGCGTGCGTCCCGCCACCCAGTACAGCGTTTTCGTGCGTCCCTCCCCTTCCTCCCTGCGTTTCACCCACCCAGTGCAGCGTTTCGTGGCCCCATAGGGAGCCCAACCGAAGGTCCCAGTGCTACCGTCCGCATGCGTCCCGCACACACAGTACAGCGTTTCGTGGCCACATAGGGAGCCCCACCGAAGGTCCCAACGCTACCGTCCGCATGCGTCCCGCGCACCCAGTACAGCGTTTCGTGGCCCCATAGAGAGCCCCACCGAAGGTCCCAGTGCTACCGTCCGCATGCGTCCCGCGCACCCAGTACAGCGTTTCGTGGCCCTCCTCCCCCTCCTCCTTGCGTTTCGCCCACCCAGTACAGCGTTTCGGGGCCCCATAGGGAGCCCCACCGAAGATCCCAGTGTTACCGTCCGCATGCGTCCCGCGCACCCAGTACAGCGTTTCGTGGCCCCATAGGGAGCCCCCTCGAAGTTCCCAGCGCTATAGGCCCCGCATTTCGTCCCGGCAACAGAGGAACAAAGCGATTTTCGTGGCCCTCCTCCCCCTTCTCCCTGCGTTTCGCCCACCCAATACAGCGTTTCGGGGCCCCATAGGGAACCCCACCGAAGATCCCAGTGCTACCGTCCGCATGCGTCCCGCGCACCCAGTACAGCGTTTCGTGGCCCCATAGGGAGCCCCACCGAAGGTCCCAGTGCTACCGTCCGCATGCGTCCCGCACACCCAGTACAGCGCTTCGTGGCCCCATAGGGAGCCCCACCGAAGGTCCCAGCGCTACCGTCCGCATGCGTCCCGCACACCCATTACAGCGTTTCGTGGCCCCATAGGGAGCTCCACCGAAGACCCGACTGCTAACCGTCCGCATGCGTCCCCGCAGCACCCAGTAAAACCATACAACAAAGCTTTTCGTGGCCCTCCACCCCTCCTCCCTTGCGTTTTTGTCCGCCCACGCCAGAACACGTTTCGGGGCCCATAGCCCAAGCCCCAACCCGAATATCCCATGGCTACGTCCACATGCGTCCCGCGCACCCAGTGCAGCGTTTCGTGGCCCCATAGGGAGCCCCACCGAAGGTCCCAGTGCTACCGTCCGCATGCGTCCCGCACACCCAGTACAGCGTTTCGTGGCCCCATAGGGAACTCCACCGAAGGCCCCAGTGTTCCCGTCCGCATGCGTCCAGGAAACCCAATTTGGCATCTTCACCTGCCCAGTGTAGTGTTTCGTGGCACACAGGGGGGCTCCACCCAAGGCCCCAGTGCCACCGTCCGCATGCGTCCGGGAAATGTAATTTGGCATTTTCACCCGTGCAGTGCAGCGTTTCGTGGTCCCATGGGGGGCTCCACCGAAGCCTCCAGTGGGACCGTCCGCATGCGTCCCTGTAGCCCAATTTGGCATTTTCACTTACTCAGTAGAGCGCTTCGTGGCCCCATAGGGAACTCCACCGAAGCCTTCAGTGGGACCGTCCGCATGCGTCCCCGAAGCCCAATTCGGCACACCACCTACACAGTACAGTGTTCCCCACCGCCCAGTGCAGCGCTTCGTGGCCTCATAGGGAGCTTCACCGAAGCAGATATTCACAATTACGGTACCAACAACTGCATATGGTTGGGACCTTCGCCAGGATAATTTTTAAAATCGTACTTCGCCACAAGATTCCGTGGACGACCCTAAGGGACACCATCGGGAAACTCCCGGCCTGGAGGCCAGTCCGTTCGCACCGGCCCCGGCGTGGAGGCCGGTCCGTTGCCTAGTAGTAGTAGTAGTAGTAGTAGTAGTAGTAGTAGTAGTAGTAGTAGTAGTAGTAGTAGTAGTAGTAGTAGTAGTAGTAGTAGTAGTAGTAGTAGTAGTAGTAGTAGTAGTAGTAGTAGTAGTAGTAGTAGTAGTAGTAGTAGTAGTAGTAGTAGTAGTAGTAGTAGTAGTAGTAGTAGTAGTAGTAGTAGTAGTAGTAGTAGTAGTAGTAGTAGTAGTAGTAGTAGTAGTAGTAGTAGTAGTAGTAGTAGTAGTAGTAGTAGTAGTAGTAGTAGTAGTAGTAGTAGTAGTAGTAGTAGTATTAGTACTAGTAGTAGTAGTAGTAGTAGTAGTAGTAGTAGTAGTAGTAGTAGTAGTAGTAGTAGTAGTAGTAGTAGTAGTAGTAGTAGTAGTAGTAGTAGGAGTAGTAGTAGTAGTAGTAGTAGTAGTAGTAGTAGTAGTAGTAGTAGTAGTAGTAGTAGTAGTAGTAGTAGTAGTAGTAGTAGTAGTAGTAGTAGTAGTAGTAGTAGTAGTAGTAGTAGTAGTAGTAGTAGTAGTATAGTAGTAGTAGTAGTAGTAGTAGTAGTAGTAGTAGTAGTAGTAGTAGTAGTAGTAGTAGTAGTAGTAGTAGTAGTAGTAGTAGTAGTAGTTAGTAGTAGTAGTAGTAGTAGTAGTAGTAGTAGTAGTAGTAGTAGTAGTAGTAGTAGTAGTAGTAGTAGTAGTAGTAGTAGTAGTAGTAGTAGTGCGCCCCCTGCGGTGCCCCCTGCGGTGCCGCCGCCGCCGACGGACCCGCTCCCGCAGCAGATCCTTAATGCTGCCGCCCTGAACGTGGCCCTCGGCGAGGACCTCGAGCGCCAGATCCTTGGGCCCTCAGGGCAGGCGGGCGGCAGTGGCGACCTCGGGGGAGAAGTAGAGGCGCTGCCGTCGCAGGTCTTTGCAGCCATTGCGCAAGGAGCAGGCCAGTCCGCCTGAATGATGAAACTCTGCAGGCCCACAGCATCGAATACCTCTATGCCCTCAGGGAGGCTACGTGCGTCCATGTTAAGATCCCGTGCCTGCCACTTTCAAAGGTGCTGAACCTGTAGGTCTGCTTACGCCCCAGCTGTAGCAACGCCGCCCTGCCCGCGAGCGCGGTGTGCCCACAGTGGTGCCCCCCTCGCGCCGCGGCTCCTGTTGCTTAAGCCTCCGCTCCTCGCACGGTCATCTGTGCGCCTAGCCGTTCTGACTTGCCAATTGGCTTGCCGTCCTGGCCTCCTCTCGCGCCTACTTGCGCTCGTGGGCCTCGCTGGCGGTGCCGGGGTCGCCCCGTGTGCTGCCGCGACGCCGCTGGGCGCCTAGCCATTTTGGCTTGCCATCCTGGCCTCTTCTCGCGCCTACTCACGCTAGTTGGCCTCGATGGCGGTACTGGGGTCGCGGATAAGCGCCCGCCGCTGCATGCGCGTCAGACCCGCCTTTTCACCCAGAAGAGGTGCTCGCTACATACTGGAAATGAGGCAGCCACGAGGACGGTCTTCCCAAGGCGGTTGAGCCGTGGTGATGTGGTGCACGAGACCGCTAGTAGTAGTAGTAGTAGTAGTAGTAGTAGTAGTAGTAGTAGTAGTAGTAGTAATAATAGTAGTAGTCGTAGTAGTAGTAGGCGTAGTAGTAGTAGTAGTAGTAGTAGTAGTAGTAGTAGTAGTAGTAGTAGTAGTAGTAGTAGTAGTAGTAGTAGTAGTAGTAGTTAGTAGTAGTAGTAGTATGTAGTAGTAGTAGTAGTAGTAGTAGTAGTAGTAGTAGTAGTAGTAGTAGTAGTACTAGTCGTAGTCGTAGTAGTAGTAGTCGTAGTAGTAGTAGTAGTAGTAGTAGTAGTAGTAGTAGTAGTAGTAGTAGCAGCAGCAGTAGTAGTAGTAGTAGTAGTAGTAGTAGTAGTAGTAGTAGTAGTAGTAGTAGTAGTAGTAGTAGTAGTAGTAGTAGTAGTAGTAGTAGTAGTAGTAGTTAGTAGAGTAGTAGTAGTAGTAGTAGTAGTAGTAGTAGTAGTAGTGTAGTGGTAGTAGTAGTAGTCAGTAGTAGCAGGAGCAGGTAGCAGAGTAGTAGTAGTAGTAGGTCGTAGTAGTCGTAGTTAGTAGTAGTAGTAGTAGTAGTAGTAGTAGTCTAGTAGTTAGTAGCTAGTAGTAGTAAAAAAATAGTAGTAGTAGTAGCAGTAGTAGTAGTCGTAGTCTGGTAGTCGTAGTCGTAGTAGTCGTAGTCGTAGTCGTAGTAGTAGTCGTAGTAGTAGTAGTAGTAGTAGTCGTAGTCGTAGTCGTAGTCGTAGTCGTAGTCGTAGTAGTCGTAGTCGTAGTCGTAGTCGTAGTAGTAGTAGTAGTAGTAGTAGTAGTAGTAGTAGTAGTAGTAGTAGTAGTAGTAGTAGTAGTAGTAGTAGTAGCTCGTTGGAGGCGCTTCATAGGCGCGTCATAGGCGCTTCGGAAGCTCATCATAGGCCCTTCAGAGGCTCGTCAGAGGCTCTCCAGAGGTTGGAACTATCGGAATCAATCACGTTGCGATCGGTCCCAGTTCGATGGTTGTAATCCGCCCGAAGTAGTTTGCGAACGACCCGAGCTGGTTGTAATCTGCATTTTTCCCGCGCCCGACCCCCCTTGAAGTGGCCTCCCCTTGGCGCTGCCTGGTCCCCATCCGTTTTCCCCCCATCCCTTGTCCCCCGTCTTTCCTCCCCGCCTTTCCCCATCCGTCCTCCCCCCATCTCCGGCCCTCATCCCCGCCCTTGGCGGCTGTGCCGCGCTTGCGTCCGATTGAGGCGCTTCAGTGCCGCAGGCACGGAGCTGCGCCGCGCGCGCGCCAGGGACAGGACCCGCAGACGACGCCGCACTGTTCTCCTGTTTTCTCTTCGTGGGTCGCGCCGGAGTCTTGGCGCGCACCCCCCCTCCTTTTTCCATCCTCCTTCCCCCCCCAGAATGGGGTGGAGGCGGGAACAGGGAGGAGGGGGGAGGGGAGGGGGAGCGAGGGAGGAGGGGTCGAGCCTCGCTCATCGAATGGGCGCCGTCGACCACGGAGGCATCGGCCAAAGTGGGGTGGAGGAGGGAAGCGGGGGCGGAGGGAGGGAGGGAGGAGGGAGAAAGGGGAAAGGACGAGAGGGGGGGTGGGGAGGAGGGAGGGGGAAACTTCTCCCTCCCCCTCCTCCCCCCCCCTCCTTCCTTCCTCCTTCCTTCTTCCTTCCCTCCTACCCCCCCCTCTCCGCACGCGTGCTCGCGACCGCGGCCCGGCGCGGGCTCCTCTCCGCTCCCCCCCTTTGGCTCTGCCTGCGCCGAGGGCCGACTTCCCGACCGACGGCGGCTTCAGCGAGAGGGCGCCCACGCCGCTGGCGCAGGGCGGAGGGGAAGGAGGCGGGGAGGGAGGGGATCGGGGGAGGGGAGGGCAGGGGGAAAGAGGGGAGGAGGAAATGGGGGAGGGGAGGGGAAGGAGGGGAGGGGAAGGATGGGGAGGGGGGAGGGGGGAAGCGGGAATGGGGGAGGGGGGGGGAGGGGAGAGGGGGGAGGGGGGAAGTGGCAAGTTGGGTGCGCTCGCGTCATTTTGACGTTCTACCCCTCCATACCATCCCTTACCATGGCGTAGATCTCTTCTCTATTCGCACAATCGGATGTTGTAGCATGGCATAGCATTACATGGCATAGCATGGTGTTGAAGATCAACGCGTAGCATATGGCGTGGCGACGCTCCAAGGGGGGCTTCTGCGACCCCAAGAATCAACGACTCGACACCGAAAGTGTAATCACTTCTGATGTTTTTTTTCGGGGGGCCATTTCCTAGATTTTGGGGCCTATTTGGAAGGATCGAAGCCATGCCGTTGCATGGCGCTGGAAATAGTGACGCCAGCGCTGCAGCGGGAGCACGATTCGGAACGAGCGGAAGCGCGGAATGAGGCCACCGCTGCAGCGGGAGCACGATTCGGAACGAGCGGTGGCCTGAAAATGAAGCCATCGTTTCAGTGAGAGCAGCATGTTGAAAAAAAACCAAGCGAAAACCCGTTTCCCGGTAACCCTGTGTGTAAAAAATCAGTACGCGGAGGGGGGACGGCCATTTCCCGGACGCCACCAGGCACGAGAGGAGAGTAGCATTCATATTGTGCAATGATGAATGGGGGAGGGGAGGGGAAGGAGGGGAGGGGGGATGAGTGGAGGGGGACGGGGAAGGAGGGGGGGGGAAGGAAGGGGGCGGGGAAGGAGGGGATGGGGGAGGGAGGGGAGGTGGGATGTTGGGACGGGAGTGGGGGGGGTGGACCGACTACACGTCTGGGTGACATTTCGTTGGTGCTCGCGCCCACTGGGGGCCCCCGATCGCCGACTGCAATGCGATAGCAGCGGCTTGCGCGCTTGGGTTTGGCCCACCTTGCCCCGCACCACAGCCGCGCACCAAATGTCACTCTTGCCCGGGGCAACTCTTGCGCGCAGCTGAGGGGAGGTTTGTTTCTGGCTTCGACGGCCAACGGCCCCACCCAGACGGCAGACAGTGAACTGCTCGACTGAGTCTTCTTTCCTCCTTCGGTTGAGGCCTTTGCCGGGCAGTCGCCAGTTCTCGTTCTCGTGAGGCGCAGGGAGAGGAGTGTCAGTCCGCACTTCCTTTCGTTCGTCCCTATTCGTTCCTTTCGTTCGTTCGTCTTTTCTCCCTGAGTACATGGTCCACCTCCATTCCCCCTGCATCCCTCACATATCGCTTGATAGTGAGATGGTCAAGGCGAGTCAGTCCAAGCAAAACCTACCATGTATTCAAGACGCCTCCCGTT